AAAAAAAAAAAAAAAAAAAAAAAAAAAAAAAAAAAAAAGCAGATATCAAAAAACAGCAAAGAGTTTACAAGTTCCCCAACCGTTTCACACAATGGAACTGTTGTAAAATGGCAAATGTAAAACTGTGTGTCTCAGTCGTGGCCCTAACCTTCAGTGGTGAGCTGTGGGCTGGGATGCCCAGAGCTTCCTTAATTCCTTTTTAAAATACTCCTCTTTATTTTGGAACTTTTATTTGTCTACTAATGCGCTGTGGTACAGCAGGAATGTCAACTGTCTGGTAAGCCTCAAGACTACTTCCCTTTTCTTCTCCTGTGTAGGATCTTTAGTTCCCAAAATAAAAAGCTTCCTGGACTGGGCTCCAGTGTAAATGGACCTTTAAATTCTAGCATATGAAGTGCAGGAAGGACAGCTCCACCCTCGCTGTGATCTGCCTGCTGTTCACCTGGCCTCTGACTGAGCACAGCACGTCGGAACAGGCCACGAGGTGTGAGGTTAAGGAAAATACCTGGCTTACTGGAATGACGATCGGTCAGAGGGAAGCTGCTCTTTTCTGTCCTACTCACTGCTGTAGGCTCAGAGGCTGACCAAAGGAAACATGGTCCAGTTACCAACGTTTGCAGCTGCCCCACTTTTCAAATATTTATCTTACATCAGAACACTGCTTGGCTAGCAAAAAGGATTTAAGACATTGCCCTACGTCCCTCAGCACTTGTGTGGAAAGTCAGGCCCAAATCTGCCATAATTATACACAAATACAAATCAATCTAAACATGTTGTCAATGTAGCTATGCGTGTCACTGAAATGCTCGAGTACCAAATAGTCCTGTTAGAAATAAAATTGCACCTTCATAATTTTCCAGAGTTTAACAAAAAGAGATCATGATATGCATTACTTGTCAGGTACGAAAGAAGCAGCGAGAAGGCAAGCTGAGAGACAGGTGCTGCCCATGGGGCAGCAATGGCATCTGGGTGGGTTTTGCACCAGCATTTCCCACACCACGGAGAGCAAACAGCCATTTGCTGCTGGAGTTAAACCGTTTTCCTGGCAGTCAACACACGGACGATGGACCCCAATCCACCAGCAGCCAGTGCCTGAGAAGAGAAACATGGCAGTGAGCAGCAAGTCGTGGCTACAGACCCAACCAGCTGCTGGTTGGACTTCCCCACCGTATACAAATAAGCACCTTTCAGCAGCTCAAACCCAGAACAACAACAGGGAAGCATGGCTGCATTCATTTTAGGGACAGCAAGTTAACACGCTTTTGTTTCCCTGCATAACTAAGTTGCAAATTTGGCTTCCCTCAAGGAAGGAAATTCTATTTCCGTCCCCTTGAACCACTATGTTGAACTATTTTGTTCGCCCCAGTCTGACTTAAAAAAATACACATAAATCAAACTCTAAATGCAGAATTGTTACTCAAGGAATCAGAAGAATGAGGAAGAACAACAGAACTCTGAACGTGCAGGACAGCGCACTCCTCACTGCGGGAAACGCAGCACTTGGCTGTTGGCACACTGTGGTTACGGACAACTCCGAGCTGGTCAGAAGGGACAGGTGAGGAAGGAAGGGAGGTGTTCCCTCTCTCTATCATGAGAGGAACAGAGTGCTCATCAAGAATGGCTACAGACAAGTTGAAAGCTTACGGGTGGGAGTTAAGAGACCAAGGAAACAAAGGGAGCAAGAAGAAAAGGCACTGGCAAAGGAAGCAGGGACAGACACCCCAGGAGGAGTACAGGGATGCTGCTGGGCTGTGCAGGGGTGGGGTCAGGATGGCTGAGGCCCAACTGGAAGTGGGCTTGGCAAGGGACACAAAGAACAAGAAAGTGCTCCACAGGTACATCAGCCAGGGACACAGATGGTCTTCCTTAGGGGTCAGTACTGGAACTGGTGTTCTTTAATATCTTCATCAGTGGGACCGAGCGTGCCCTCAGCAAGTCTGTGGGTGACACCAAGCTGTGTGGTGCAGACAACGTGCCAAGGGATGAGATGCTGTTCAGAGAGACTTAGACAGGCCAAGCAGCAGGCCCAGGAGAGCCTCATGGGGCTCAACAAACCCAAGTGCAAGGTCTTGCAACTGGATCATGACAACCCCCACCATCAGTGCAAGCTGGTGGATAAAGGATAGAGCGCAGCCCTGATGAAAAGGTCTTGGGGGCTGTAGGGAAACTGCTAGGTTACAACATGAATTGGTGATTGAGCACCTGATTGAAGGCGTGTGGCTGGGCCAGGGAGAACAACCAAATTGTTTGCACCTGTGCTTCCCATGTGATCAGAAGGGGTGGAGCCAGGGTGGATCCACCCTGAGCTCACATAAAGGCCAGCCATGGAAGGGTGAGCATCTCTTGGGTTACTTCCTGGGGAATGCTGAGTACTTAGAGAGACTTTTCTCCAGTTGGGTGAGTTTAACTCTTCTTTCTTTATATGGTATTAGCCTACCTGCAAATACTTCACTTGCTATAACTAAGAACCTGTCAGAAGCAATTTTGCTTCTTCGTAAGTCAAAATGGGGTACTGGTGGATGGCAGCTGGGCATGAGCCACTCATGTGCCCTTGCAGCCCAGGAAGTCAACTGTATCCCAGGCTGCACCAAAAGCAGCATGGCCAGCAGACTGAGGGAGGTGATGCTGCCTCTCTGCTCTGTGCTGGTGAGACCTCATCTGGAGTACTGGATCTAGATGTGGAGTCTTTGGTACGGCAGAGACATGCTCCTGCTGGAGCATATCTGGAGAAAGGCTACAGAAATGACCTAAGGAATGGAACACCTCCTCTGTGAGGGCAGGCTGAGAGCTGTGGCTGTTCAGCATAGAGAGGAAAAGGCTCTGGGGAGACTAAGAGAAGCATGTCACTGTCTAAAAGAGGGCTGTAAGAAAAAAGGGGACGCTTCTTAGCAGGATCTGTTTTGACGTGACAAGAGAAAATGGATTCAAACTAAGAGGGGAGGTTAAGACTGGATTTAAGGAAGAAGTTTTTTACGATAAGGGAGGTGAAGCACTGACACAGGTTGCCCAGAGATACAGTGAGTGCCCCGTCCCTGGAGACACCCAAGGTCAGGTTGGGCAGGGCACCGATGGAGCTGTGGGCGTCCCTGTTCAGTGCAGGGAGGTTGGAGCAGGTGGCCTTCAGAGGTCCCTTCCAACTCAAACAATTCCATGATCCTGTGAACCTATTTTAGTTTCACCAGGCGAAGGGTGGCTCTTACCAGGCTCAGTGAGTGTGCCCAGGACCCAGGAACCTGTTCCACAAAAAACCCAGGGGAAGAGCACATTCTGTACACACACCTTCTCATGCCACTGCAGCAGCACAGCACTGCTGTTGTCAGAGGGGCTCTCAAAGCCTTTGTAGATGTATTTCATTAGCAGATCAACACCATTCTTATCCAGGGACTGGACTGCCTTCTCGATATCGTTGGCTTTGAATGAGATGAGGACCTTCAGGACAATACTTTCTGCACGATCCTGTCAATAGGTAAGAAAGGCAGAGAGACTTATTCTTGTATAAGATGCAAAATAATACATTTGAGTAGAGCAGTTTGTACACAAATCTTATAATACTTTCTCTATTTAATAATTGTCTTTCAATGCTAAATAGTATAATGGAGTTGTGAGTTTGCTCTGCTCTACGTTTCTCTGCCTCTCTGCTTGTTGCAATTTTTCATCCATTAAATGAGGTTAGGGCTAAATACTAACTTGCATATTGAAATTCAAGTTCTGACAAGCTCCAAAAAAGGTAAGGATTGAGTACTTGGCTGGCCTTATTTGTTACCAGAGCTTTTCCCATATCTTTGCCCTGTTTAACGAGGCACAAATATTATATTCCATGGAAGTGGCACTGGCCAAGCTGGAAGGAAAAACTGCTGTAAGCCACATGCTTTCAGGAAAATCAGCTCCTGTCCTAGGTGCAGAGGACACGGTCTGGCAGCATTAACAATATTATGCATTAATGACCATTTGCAAGTCAGTGTGGATGTCATTTCAGGTCCAGGAGTTTGTGTGGCATGATTACAGCCCTAGATTAGCCACGCAATCAGCAGAAAGTGACTGTTCCTGTTCATCCATCACTAACTGAGGGAGGATGAAAGAGGTCTGAAGCTTGTTAGAGTTCTAAATAATTCCATCATACAAATACTTCGAGCAGCTTACTCTTGCATTATAGATGTTTAGTTTCCTTATTTCAAGTTCACAGTCACTTGACTTAGTGAGACTTCTCACATGAAAAGCTCTGAGCAAAGCTTAAGTCACATAAGGATGACTAAATGTTTAGTGAAACACAGAAAGTCAGCTGCTCTGCCCTCTCCAGTTGCACTACCTTTGCACTGTATTAAGAACTTCAGTACAGATCTAACAGAAACATTCATCTGAAGATAAAGCTGGTCGTGCTTTTAGACAGTGTCTGCAACAAACACCAGCTGGTTCTCTGTGAAATGCCTTGGGAAGGGGCTTGGGGAAGATCCTCCACCAGGGGTCTGCTGAGGACAGTCTGGTGTCAGAGCAGCAGAGCACAGAGCTGTGAGGCTCTGCTCAGCATCTCCTCCCATCTGCCTCTTCCTCTCGCCACTGCAATCACGAATGACTCAAGGCTCGTTCTGGGGAGATACAGAAGTACGTGCAAGCAGCACTCTCCTGTGTTCTGTCAGAGGGGAAGTGCACGTGATTGCTGAGGTTCCAACGGCTTAATTTTGATTGGCTGCAATAACCACCAGTTCTTCCTTTTTTGTAGGCCCAGGTCTGGCTGTGCTAGCCGTTTCCTCAGTCGCTGCTGGCTGCGGTTCTGCAGCTGTTTGGTGCTGAGCTGGGGAAGCTGCCCTGAGGAGCGTGACCTGCAGCAGGGGCGGGCTGTGATGTGCCAGACCCACCCAGGCACAGCACGTACAGCTGAGGGGCAGCCAGCTAAAGGTGCACCAGGCTGTGAGCAGCTGATGGAGCTGTGGGTGCCCCCCTTCACTGCACGGGAGTTGGACCGGGAGGCCTTTAAAGGTCTCCTCCAACTCAAAGCATTCTATAAAGGCACGCAGACATCCGAGCTGCGGTTTTTAGAACAGGACAGAGATGGGGGATGCCGGGACACGTCCCAGCGCCCGGCTTTCTGCAGACGCGAACAGGAAGGCACGCTTAAGGAAGCGCCGGGCTCACCTTCACGGCCTGGTTCTTCGTGTTGATGGGCGGATTCTTCAGAGCCGCCTGCAGCGCGGCCATCATGTTCCCTGTGCCGGGCGTTAAGGAGCAGCAGCGGCAGCGCTCCCTCAGCACCCGCCCGGCTTCGGGGGCGGCCCGTCGAGGATCGCACCGCCTCGCCCCGCTCAGCCGCCCGGTTCCCGTCGGCCGGCCCGCCATCGTTTCCTCCCCCACCCCTCCTCTCGCCCCGTGACGGAAGGATATTGCCTGAGGCACGAATCCACCTCGCCTTCGTCGGGTCCCGCTTGCCCGTCGCCTCCGTCCTCCTCGTCCACGAACTTGTTCTCGTCGTACTCGTCCACATCCACCCGGCGGAAGCGGGCGGACGACACGGTGTGCTTGGCCATGGCCGCCCGCTCGCCGCCGCCTCCGCGCTCTGCCGCCCCGCCTGTCCCCGGGCGCAGGCGCCTACCGCCGGCCGCACTGCGCAGGCGCGCTGCGGGGCCCGCTCTAGCGACGCGAGAAGACAGCCCGGGGTGAGGCGAGCGGCCATTGGTCAGCCCCGCGCGCTCTTCCCGCCGCCCGCGCGCCGTTTCTGTGGTGACGGGGCGGCGCCGCTCCCTCAGCCGTGGGAGGAGCGCTGCTTTGATACCCGCAGCTCCCTGGGCGGCTCCTGCCATTGCGTCACCGCTCCTCGTTCCCAACCTGAACCTCCCTCGGTGCAGCTTCAGGCCATCGCCTCTTACCCTGTCGCTGTTACCGGGAGCAGGGGCTGACCCTACCTCACTACAGCCTCCTTTCACGCAGTGCGAAAATGCAGTGAAGCCTCCCCTGAGCTCCTCTCCTGCGTGCTGCCCCGTCCCGTTCCCTCAGCGGCTCCCCATCACACCCCGCACAGCTCCCTGCCATTCTCTGCACGCATTCCGGAGGCTCGGTGTCTTCCTTGCCCAGAACTGAACACAGCGCTCGTACTGTTAGTACCGACTGTACCGTACAGTCAATTAATTTTCAAGTTCCACAGTTGTAACCTGCATTAACATTCATCAGAAGCAATATCAGGGTGGATTTTTTGGCTGCTTGTGTTCTTGGTTTTACAGCCTGGAGGTGGTTCGGGTTCTGTCACCTTTGCTGTCGGTTCCTGCTGGCCATCATTGCTTCAGGATTACGACTTTCATTAATAAACTCCTTTGGCATTTTTAAGTGCCTTACAATATTTATAGGTCTGGGGTGGAGACGTTCCCTCTGGGAGGGCAGAAACAAGCCTGGAAAAAGCACCGAGTGTCTTTGAGACAGGAGATGTGGCAAACTGCCCTTTGTCACTGGTAAAGGCTGCTGGAAGGCAGGGCGAGAAAAAGCCCTTGGGTTTTGCTGCACAGCAGGCTCTCCATGTGTTGCTTGTGGAAATGCTGTCCTACAATAGGTTTTCACTCCTTTGAAGTTAATTTGGTGTGGATTCTGTCCATCTGATATGGTTCCTGGCGGTAAAGCCGTGTGCTGAAGCGCTGACCCTGGGATGCCATACACGAAGTTGGAGAGGAGGTGACACCAAGTCCCCACAGGCAGCGGTTGCAGTGTGACCCATGGCCACAGGCTGGCCAGGCTGCGCAGGGCTCGGCGGTTCCACGCGGCCGTGGGTAAGCTGTCCTCAACGTGGTAAGGCTGGGAGAAGTAGAGGCAGAGCCTGGTTTCTGAGTGCTTCAGCAAGAAGTTGTAGATTTTACTTATGCAGCAGTGGTAAGCCTCATTACAAGGAGAGTAATTTGAATAGAGGGTGATGCAGCCAGTGTTTCCATAGGCATGTATCACTGCATCCAGATAACCACCTGCCTCAAACAGCATGGATTCCGGGTGGCTGCCCTGCTCAGCACAGCTGCTGGCCTGGCCTTTTTGGACTACAGTGCCAGAGAAGCTCCTCAGTTCGTAGAAGAGAAGGTGGTGGGTTTGTGGATGTGCTGTGCTTCTGCATGGGAATCCAAAAGCCCTCAGAAACTCTGTGTAAGGAACTCTTGCTTCTTCACCTGTCCGTATGTGATAGGGACACTTAGCACAGGTTTGGCTCTCTGTCTGCCAGCTGTAGGGCTTTACCACAGTCCCCTGGTTTGTGAGATATTCTTGGAAAATTTTCTCTTCTGGGTTCATGTTCTGTTAGAATTCTCCCTGCTTATGTGCTGTAGAGCTAACAGTCCTGGATAAAAAAAGTGAAAATAGTATTGCAATTTAATCCTGTGATTGCTTTTCCACATAAACTGCAAAAATAATAGTAGATAGCCACTTCCAAAATGTATTGAAACTCGTAGCCCGGATTGGAATGTTGATCCACAACGCAGAGAACAAAGCTTTCTTGCTGCCTGAAAGCCATTCTGAGTTTACAAACCAGCCTTTTTGCTAAAAACACGAGGCAAAAATATTTATCTGGCTTCTGCCCTTTTTTCCCCAGACAGGAGAGGCTGCGTGGTGAAAACAGCCCTACTTTTCCAGAGTTAGCAGGTGAGTTTTTTGCAATCTGGCAGAACGAACAAATAAATACCAACCAAAGGAAAAAGAATAAAGCTATAATTACCATCTCAGCAGCTCCAGCTCAGGGCTGTAGTAAAAATCTTATGGTAAATATCTTAGTTCCTTCACTGGCTTTTTAAGATGATGGTTCAGAGTTTCCACACCAGTGAATATTGCAAGCTTTCTTGTCCAAGCTGCTTGATGGAAAAGAAAGTCACTGCTTCTTGCTGTGGTTTGGCAGCTCAGCTGCAGAAGGATCTTTCCCAAAGGTGGTGCCTTTGCTCCACTAGTGTTAGGGACAGCAGGCAGGTTCCTTTGGCTGTGTACAGGTGCCCGGTGCTAGGAGATGGGAATACAAACAGGATTTTCTTTCCTACCTCCAGCCACCTGCGGTGGTTAAGCTGCTGTTCTTTGCTTGTCAAGATCTGTTTCCCGCTTTAGTAAGCTTCCTTTGTTTCTTTAGTGCTGCTTTGATATAAGATTTTTACAGCTGCGGAATGGATGTTTTTCTAATGAATGTGTTACTAAGTTCGATTCTAGGTCACTTATTTCTGTGTGTTCCTGCTTGTTGTGCCAGGTGAGCAGAGAGCTCCTGTTTTACTTCTGCTTTCATTTGAAGGCAGCAGTGTTGCCCCTGCATTTATGCCCTGTAACTGAAGCAAACAGCAGGCCGTTCTGTGAGCAAGGTGTTTGCTTTGCATGGGCAGGGCTCCATGTGTGTGCAGATGTGAATGTTGTGAGGATGGGCAGCTTTTGAGGCAGATGATTGATTTTCCTCCCTGCCACTTGAACTGAGTCACTCACCATCCCTGGGTTCCGTTTAATTCTGTCGCTACTTTTCTGGATTTACATTTTTTTCCATCTGCATATTTTATTTATTACAGCTTGCTTCTGCATTCCACACTGTGTTGTCCTCTGTCACTATTTCATTTTCTTCTTAAATTACTAATGATTCATTTGCTTTGTTTTCCACTCCTGACTCCACGCCAACAGCCATCTGCTTTCCTGTGTTGGGGCTCTTTCCTGATCTGGGCCATTGTTCTGTTTTCATTCAGATTACTTCTAAAGATTGGCTTCCTGACATCAAGAATGCTGCATTTGTCATTGTTGATGTTTCTATACAATTTTTGATGCCCATGATGACTGTGCACTGCAGTGTAATCATGGCAAGGGTGAGCGTATCCCAGAAAATTAAAAAAGTGTGTTTGCTGCCCAACATTTGTTCAGAGGAGGGCCACAGAAATGACCCAAGGGATGGAACGCCTCCTTGTGAGGACAGGCTGAGAGCCAGGGCTGTGCAGCATGGGGAGGAGAAGGCTCTGGGGGGGCCTGAGAGCAGTCTGTCAGTATCTAAAAGAGGGGCTGTAAGAAAGGAGGGATAAACACTTCAGCAGGGTATGTTGTGCTGCAGGAGGCACTGCAACACTGTTGTGATAGGACAAGGGGAAAGGGTTTCAAACTATAGGAGGGGATGTTTAGGCTGGATATAAGGAAGAAGTTTTTTTGATAAGGGCTGTGAGGCAGTGGCACAGGCTGCCCAGAGAGGTGTGGGTGCCCCATCCCTGCGGACACCGAGGTCAGGCTGGATGGGCTGTGAGCACTGATGGAGCTGTGGGTGTCCCTGCTCAGTGCGGGGGAGGTTGGGGCAGATGGCCTTTGAAAGACCCTTCCAGCTCAAACGATTCTATGATTCCATGATACAAAGAGCAGGACTGAAGAAAGGAATGTTTTTCGTCGTGGAGGGGCGTTACGAGACCACCTCTGCAGCTCTTCTGGAGGTCGCCTCCCTTCAAAAAGCTGCACGGCTCTGGCAAGGCTTCCGTTCCCTGTCCCTGCGGCGGAGCTGGGTGGCCGCACGGTGGCAATGTTGCCCACCAGAGGTGGATCAAACTTAGGGCTTGTTAACTCCGTTTCATTGCGTTTAAAGGAATGCCACCAGAGAGACCTAAAATATTACATCTCTCTCTATTACTTGGTGATTTGGCCAGATCCTAGCGAGCTTTCCATCTTTCTCCTAATAGCGCTGAATCCTTACCCAGTGGCAGTCAGATCCCACAGTACCCCATTTGCTAGGTTGGTTGGGACGGTGCTGGCAGGACTGAGTGCATTCCTGTGTAAACTGCAGCTCACAAATCGTTTTAACTGATGGATGGATGCCCGTGCGTGTGGATGTGTGTGTACATACATGTGCATGTGCATTAAGCAGCTAATGGGAGCACACGTCACTCAGCTGTCATGCAGAAAAAAATGCTGTTTCCACTCACAAATATATTTAAAAATATTGAATGGTTCTTTAGCATTAGTCATCTTCTAAATAGCTTATAAATCTGACCAAAAGGTTAAAATACAGGCTGGTGCAAATGGCTTTCTCTGTGGTATTTCTGCTGTTTAGCGTTACTTAGATCTTGTGCAGGAGAAACTGTGTAAGTGGCTCAGCGATCCTGATGTATCTGCAGAAGTAGGAGGTGCTGCAGTTCATAGTTTAGATAAGTCCGAAATTTGAAATTGACGTGGTTTTGGGCTGGGAAATGAAAAATGCAGGTACTCCAAACAACCCCTGCCTTTTGGGAGCTCTTGACTTCAGTGTTTGCAGCCCTTAGTTCTGTGAAAGAGGAATTTTGCCTGCTCTCTGTCTTATTTTGCTCTGTCGTTGTTTCTGAGATGGCTTTCCCAGTGCTTCCCTGCACGTGCACAGCCAATAGGCTGTTCCACATTCTCAGAAGGAATGCTACATTTTAAACATTTAACCATAAGTCAGGCTGATAGGAAAAGTACCGTCTCCATCTATCAGTGTAATTGCCGTGACCTGATGCAGAGGATCCTGTGGAGTGGATACAACCAGGAACTCAAAACATATGTTAAGGAATGAAAGACACCCCTGTCTCCTCCAGAAACGTAACAGGGGGAGATAAGGATATAATTATCATTAAAAAAAGTAGTTTCACTTATTACTAAAACACAGCCGTCTCTGGGGCAGAGGGCAGTAGCTGTTTAATAGTGCTCCACAACGCAGCATAAGCGTTCACAGGAGGAACCAGAGAGGAATGCTGTATCCAGTTAAAATCACAGGGGAAACTTATGTGGTCAGAATGTAATTGCTGAGGTTGGAAGTTAGCCAGGAGACAAGCCATATGTTCTGCTCCTAGGGAAAAAAGGCGCAACGAGGGCCCTGCTATTTTTTTGTCCAAATATTGGCTAAAACCTGGGATTGCTTCGATATACAGAGATGCTGATCCATCCCAGTGCGGGCAGCTTGGAATTCAGTGATCATTTACTGGTGTAACCATTGTAAACTTGGGATTCTTTGATTTATGAAGATGTCTTCTGGAAGCAAAGTCGCACGCATTGATTCAAGACTACATCAGGATTAGGCCAAAGCTATTTTTCTGGAGTGTGATTATATGGAAGTATGAGCATTTTTTTCTTCAATGACTGAAACATTCTCTACTTCCATAGTCTCACACCAACGTCGTTCTGTTTATGTGGGGGATCTGCTGCTTCCCCCCCGAGCACTGCACTCCTGTACGAGAACGGTTCCTTTTTTTGTTGCTGAAATACGAGTGTTGAAATTCTGTAGCACTTCTTAGTACAGTTTGGTTCAAAATAATCTCTGTTGGAAGCATTTCACACATGACTTCATTCAGTAAGAAGTTTATCTGAGTTCAAAGTACAGAGGAGTCACATGGCCCTTACCCAGCCAGGGCCTTGAAGTTCTTGTGCAGTCGTAGGATTTTAAAAACTAGGGGCAAAGCCAGCGAGGGTCTGGGGCACAAAAGCAACAGGGCTGCATATGCTTTGCCTATTTAGGATTTGGAACTAGTAATCCTGCAAAAGCAGCAAAAAAAAAAAAGAAGAGGAAAAAGATGTATTTTGTAGCAGAAGTGTTTAAGAAAGGAAAAAAAAAAAAACTTTCTGCTTCTTGTTGAGAGTGTTGCTGATTTGTTGGGTACCAGAGCAGTACATGTTATCAACTTACTGCAAAATCATTCTTTGTAGCTGAAAGTCACCTACTGTGTGCATGAACTTTGGAAGGGATGAATGTTGTGTTGAAGATGTGCGTTGAATGTGTTGGGAAATGTAAGCTAGTGAGAGCTGAATGGTGTGACTGCAGAGCTGTGGTGCCTGGGAATGTGACGTGCTGAGGGCTGGCTGGAAGTGATGTGTTTCAGTTTTGTTGTTCCCAGTTTTGTTCCATTAAGGGAACTGAAAATTAGATCCCCTTGTTCTACCAAGTCTACATATGTGATCAAATTAGCAAATGTGAGGGCTTCTGCTGATGGCACTGGCACTGTTTATGTGCAAGAAGTTAAGCAGATGTGTAAATCTTTGCAGGGTACAGGGCTAGAACAGTAACAGCTGCCAAAGATGATTTAGTTATTGTAGGAAGGAATGTACTGGCTGCTCTGCTTTTCCTATCACAACAGAGTTTGTCCCCTTTAGATACTGGAAGGCCGCTCTCAGGTGTCACTGGAGCCTTCTCTTCTCCGTGCTGAACAGTCCCAGCTCTCTGATGTCAGAAAAAAAGATGTTGAATGACTCCATATGCTATGATTCTCAAATAAATTAGGACTCAAATTTACACTGTTATGATGTCCAACCTTCAGCAGTTCCTGAGCCTGGGGTGAAAGTTCGGCCACTTTTAC